GAAAATTTATTTGGTATTATGAAACATTGTAAATATTACCATCAAGATCTTGGGTAATAAAAACGAGTTGTGATAGTAAAATGAATATAAGTTAAAGTTTCAATCATAAGAGTAAGCAAAATAATTAGTTTTGCAATTTAAAGGTCTTGACTAAAATATATTGTTGTTAAGGTTTGTTAGGTTAACTTGCTTTATTGCTTATGTCACAACTTTTATTTGATATTGAAAATATTATATTCTTCACATGAACTTTGTTATGGACATGAGATTGGTTTAAAGCATAGTTATTGTGTGTATATGATTATCTAGAAAAAAATATGTGTTATCAACATTCATCATATGCTATTATGTTGAGATTTATGGAATAAAAATTATGAAATTGATGAATCTCATGTAATTATAAAGTATCTGCATTGGTAGCTGTTTTGTTGCCAATCATATCATAATTTTGAAATTTCTTGTAATCATACTTGAAAGGTTAAGATGCCATAATAGAAGTATTATTAATTGTTAAGATAATTTACTTTATATTATGGCATGCTAAGTGTTTCTTTTGATTGGTAGTATGATTATGAAACATGACTTGAAATTTTAAAGTGTTTAAAATGGTTATGGGCATTCTACGTTTTAATTTTTAATGATTCGTAAAGGTATATTTAGATTAGTATCTCATTTAGAGTGATCACATGTATAAAAAAATAAAAATAAATCAGTAGAACCATAATGATTATAAAATTTCTTATGTTATGAGATTGTCTTTAAATTACTACATGTGATTACTTGCCTAAAAGGGGTGGTTATGTGTTTTAATTTAGAGATAATTGTGAACCATTTTTTATTAAATGAAAAAAACATACAAAATTAAATTTATAATATGGCACATTGATTATGTTGATAAGACTAGTAAAGGTATTCAATTGACTGAATTCTTATTTGTTTGGATAATTGATTGGCCTTTGTTCTAAATTTCAATTTATTTGGATAATTGTCATTATAAGTTAATGTCTACCATGAGTAATAAGTTCTTGAATGTTTTGTATAACATAGTAAATGTATAAATTTTAGTCACTTTAATTTATCATCTTAGAGATATACATCCATTGTATAATGCATTATAATAGCAAGATGATTAGTTTCCACACAAGAAAGTTTTAGACCTATTATGATATCTCAATTTGTTTAAAGTAAAATTGAGAGTTGTTGAAATATAATTCTATTTTGACAAATATTTTTTTGTTTGTTTAACTCTCAATTAAAATATTGGTTTGATTATCTTAGTTAATATTATTAAGTCTAGAAGTTATCAATTTTAAAAGGCATATTATTGTCATTTGTTGACAATGTGTTTTGAAGAAAACTAACTATTTTCTTTTAAGGAACTCATACGTGAAATGAATAATATTATTTTACAATTATCACACGTGTGAGAGTTTTAAGCGATGAATTTTGTGCAAATAAGTAAATTACTTTTGTTTTTATTGGTTCAATTCCTTTTCTGATAATTTTTCTCAAATTTTGTTGGTTTATTTTTTAGAAAGAATAAGAATTGTATAGTTTTCTCTCATTTCACTTCTCTCATTTTGAATTATATATTGAATTCAATCTTGAAAGTTATTAGGAATAATATTATAAAAGTTCTAACTTTGTTGTATTTTGTTAAGTCAAAAATTATTCTTTTAAAGGAAATGAAAATCAATGAGAGTTCTTTTGCATATATTTTAAAGTAGTAAGAACTCATAAATGCCTTAAAGTTATTATTTTAGAGATATAATATGTGCTAAAGTCAATGAAAACTAAAAGGCTATGGTATTGACACATTTTAAACATGATTTATAATTCAATGAATTTCAAACTTGTTGAAAATGTTCTCATATTCATAATATGTTAGTAATTTTTACGTGGTTTATTAAAGTAGAATCATTAAAATCCAAAACACTAGTTGTTATCACATTTGGCATAAGTGCAGACAATAACTAATTTTGTTATGATTCCATTTATTGTTATGCTCCTTATTCATAATTCTGAATCTGATTGGAGCAAATTTGTGATTCATTGAATCAGTGGAAGTAATTGTAATTTGATTAGATGATAACATATTTTCTCTATGAGGAATATGGTATTACCAAGCTCATAATATGTATATCTATAGATATGAAAAATATGAAAAATAAAATCTATTAAAGTTTTAGGTTGACTATGGCAATGATATGCATGCATTGTAAATTTGATTTTGAAACCATTATTGTTTTAGGTTTTTTTATTTTGTTAAAAGTATCACATGTGATTGCTAATTACCTATGTGATATAGTTTGAGATGAATAAGTTCATGAGATACCATCAAGTTAAATAGGCATAATTATTTTATATTCTCATCATAGTTGTTATATATATATATATATATATATATATCAAATTGGATATGCACATCTCATTTTGACATGTCATATTATAAAATCTTAAAACTAAGTATTTGTCTTAAGTATGACTTTAATGTCATTTGGGTATGTCTTATAAGTGATACCATCAAGTAACCTTAAGGATAAAGATGAGACATACAAGCATATTTGGCAGTCATGTAGATTTTTCAACAAGTTTAGAAAAATCAACAAGAGAATTGACATTGAAAATAATATATTGAGATCATATTTAGGTGTTATTTTCTTGTTATATAGCCATACTAAGATCCATTACTAATAGGGTCTCCGATACTTATAACCATATACTAGTTTTTTGTCGATATGAGACATAAAGGCTCCCATGATTTAATATTAGATGATTTTATTGGACATGATCATAAGATGTTGTCTCAAAGGCTAAATTATTTTTTGAAAACTATAGCTACATCAAAATAAAACTAATCAATTTAGGGTCTTGTTTTCTAAATTATATTTTCTTAAAATCAAACAAACCAATTAATATTGCCCAAATGGGAGAATGTTATAAATTTTCAATAAGTGGGCTACTATTAATTGATGATTTTATAGTTTAATAAAATAAGCTTATAAATTTAGTCTTAATATAAAACAAGCATAAGAGCCCAAATAATTTAATTGTGATCACTTATGTGTGGGTTTTACACATCTTATTGGGTCAATGTTGTTTAGTAGTTGTGTAAGCTTTTGGCTCGATAAACCTTTGATAGTAAGGTTTATAGAGGAAGGTTTATAGGGTTTTAATAAAATTTAGTAAGGTCTCATCTTCAATGCTAATTAATATCTATTTTTAAGAGCTGTCAGTAAAAAAAGAGTGAATAAGAAGATCTAGTCTCTTTAGGATTAGTGTTGCTTTCACTTATCAATTATATCTGCCCAAACAAATACACAATTTAATAAATTTGATATTTTAATATTCACATATGATTTTTGAGATTTACAATTATGCTTATATACAACGGTATCCAGATTGATTTATGTGACTACAAGGATCAATAAGCTGGTTTATTTGATATTTCTGAAGTAAATATTTAGTAAGCGAGCTTGAACTGCTAGTGGAAATTTGAATTCTGCAACAATCCTGTTTTGAACGGTTGTTCATGAGTATCAAATTGTTAGGATGTCAAATGCAAAATATTCCTTCAGAAGAATTAAAAAAAAGGTAAGAAAATGCACATCTTCACGGAAATGGAAATAAGACTCATTTTTTAAGCTTTTTTGGTTCAGATGGTGTGTTTAATCCTAAGTTCTGCTAGCTAGCAGCGATACTCAAAAAGTCACCTTCCAAGCAAAGGGTTGTCTTTGAGGTCAAGAATCCCAACCAAAAAAAAAAAAAAATTCACCACCTTTAAAACTGGTAAGATTATTGGTTAGTGAGAAAAATGTGGGGTTTGAGAAAAGAATATATATATATATATATATATTAAATTAAAAAAAAATTCAAGGTGAAAAAGATGTGAGATTAGAAATCAATTTCTAGGTTGAGCTGCTACTACAAAATGATAAACACCAATCTAATTAAAATTTTCAAAGTTGCTGGACAGCTGACCAGGCCATTGATCCATATCCTTTGAAAGCCATTTCTCAACCATAAAATAGTTTCTTATTCCTCAACATCAATACATGTATACATTGACCATTACCCACCACCATAGTTGCATGTATTTATTTTCTTCTGGAAGGTCGGCTGCTGTTATAAAATCTACAATGATAGATTCAGATGCTTCAGCTATACAAAATCTAGAATCATCTTTCAGCCTGCAAAACTGTTATTAATGTCATGCAATTAAAATCAAACAACTGATTACCGGGAACCACAAGGTTTAGTCCAGTTAATAGGAGAGGACTTTGGGGGAGCATTCAAGAGTAAAATTCTAAATGAACCAAGTCCATGTATGAGTGTATCCTTACAACCTTTCGTGGAGGAAATTAAGCAAGTAAAACCTAAAGATATCCTTTATCGTAATATTAAAAAAAATAAAAAACCCCAAACAATTAAACTCTAGAAGTAGAAGGGTGCACTTTTCAAAAGTTTAAAACTAAACTTACACAAACATATTGGCCTATGCCACTAAAGAAAAATGGAATGATATTAAACTATATGCTTATTTTAGCTAAAATGGACTGTACTTTACGACCATAGTCGACTGATGGTATGTTGTTATCATAAAGCTTTTTTTTATTAAAACGAAAAGTACTAAAGAAAGACGTGTACAAATGGAAACTGTGCGCCGAAAGCTACACGAAATTAAAAATATTTGTTATGGAGAAGAAGAGTTTGAAAACAGGGCCTGAGGATCATTTAATAGAGATAGAGAAAGATGTGCAGATGGGAAGTTTCAACTCACATTATAGTATCAGTCAGTAGAAAATGCCAACTTCAAAACATACGATGACTTTGCTACTTTGTGTAACATCCAAGAAAACTTTGAGAAACAAATACTTGTCTGTGGCATCTCATTATTCACCTAACCAGTTAAAATGACATTGCATCAGTGATTTTTTTTTTTTTTTTCCTTTATATATGAAGTTATGAAGTGAGTGTGTCAGACTTTGGTTTCTTCTAAATATAGCTGGAAACAAATCAATCATGGAGGAGACAAACAGAGTTTAGAGACAAAGAGATTGAGGGAGAGCAAAGGATGGTGTCTTGGGTTCAGACAGTGCTGTTTCTGTCTGTTCTATTTCCGGTAGTGGTAGAGTGTAAGATTCGGCATTATAATTTCACTGTAAGTACTTTCATTGGTGTCTGTTGCAGTTCTTCATTACATCCTAAACACTAAGAACAGCGAGAAATATTTTTTTTTTCATTGAGAAAGTCTAAGAAAAGTGATCATTTCACGCAGTAATGATAATTTTTTTTTTTTCTTTTTAACTGGCAAAAAGGGATTGCAAGACTATAAATTCAATCCCGAGCCTAACTGATATAATCCAACAATAAATTTTTGAAGTCTTTTCCCTCCCCTTCTTGCTTCAACTTTTTAAAAGGTAACCAAAGATTAATGATAGACTTCAAAAGCAAAATTCTTGCTTCCGTTAAAAAATTGTTTCCCTTGGGGTTAAAAGGGGCAAAAAGTTGTTACCTAGGGGCAACCTAGGGGAACCAGGAGGAAATATTGTCATATTTCTCATCTAAATTTCCCTTCATAGATATTACTTATTTACTTAATAAGTATACCTATCTCATTTGAACTCTTCATTTTCTCACCCAATGCCAAGAAAATGACTGAGCATCTTTTAAAAGTTCTCAACATATAGGATCTATTGTTTTTGCACATTGTTTTTTAATAAAAGAAATGTACAATCCAGACATAACTAAAAAATGGAGGAAAAAGAAAAACGATAGAACATAGAAATTTATCTTCAATCTTTTGGCAAATGCATCTGATCAGGTGATCTTAAAAAACATAACAAGGCTTTGTGCCACCAAGCCTATTGTGACTGTCAATGGGCAGCTTCCAGGGCCAACTCTTTACGCAAGAGAGGACGATAACATACTCGTAAGGGTCACCAATCATGTTCAATACAATGTTACAATCCACTGGTAAGCAAGTTTATCAGAAAGATCCCCTAAACTTAATAAACTAATGTACTATAATCTACAAATTGCAGCATGATGACTTTTTTTTCTTTGCTACTGCAGGCATGGTGTCAGGCAACTTCGAACTGGTTGGTCTGATGGACCAGCATATATCACACAGTGCCCAATTCAGCCTGGTCAGAACTTCCTTTACAACTTCACCCTTACAGGCCAAAGAGGGACACTCCTTTGGCATGCACATATTTCCTGGCTGAGGACAACCATGTATGGTGCCATTGTTATCTTGCCTAGGAAAGGTGTCCCTTATCCATTTCCCAAGCCTGATAAGGAAAAAATAATCATATTAGGTGAGCTTCGGTAGCTTGAAGTTTGTTTCTGCCAGCATCAAAAGTACATAATGAGACTAATATGTTAAAAAGTGGATTCTGTTCTTTGAATCTTAGGGGAATGGTGGAAAGCAGATACTGAAGCTGTGGTCAACCAGGCAATGCAAACTGGTTTGCCGCCAAATATATCAGATGCACACACAATTAATGGCCACTCAGGGCCAGTTCCTAACTGTTCTTCTGAAGGTACTAGCATGGGCTATATATAACCTTGTGTTTTGTTTGACCACAATCATAAGAACTGTAATTTCTTTCTATTGGAAGGCAGAAAAACTGTAGGGAAAATGATTTTGTTTAAGAAGAAAAAAAGCTTAGACTAGTATATGAGAACAATGTTATGCAATTGATCAGTCTCCTTTCCGCTCCCGAGCTCTTTTCCTTTTTCCTACCCAGTTCAGTTACCAATGTTCGATCATTCTGTGAATGCAGGCGCTTATACTTTACATGTCGAAAATGGCAAGACCTATTTGCTACGGGTTATCAATGCAGCTGTGAATGATGAGCTCTTCTTCAAAATTGCTGGCCATAATCTGACTGTCGTCGAAGTTGATGCAGCTTACACTAAACCCTTTAAAACTAACGCATTATTTCTTGGTCCAGGACAAACCACAACTGCCCTTCTTACAGCAGATCAGGGCATTGGCAAGTATTTAATAGCCGTATCTCCATTCATGGACACCATTGTTGCAGTTGACAAGTTGACTGGAATCGGATTCTTACGCTACAACCACACCCTTGCGTTTGCTCCAACCACCTTGACGATCATTCCTCCTTTAAATGCGACATCAGTGACATCAGTTTTTTCTGAATCTCTTCGAAGCCTTAATTCGAAAGAATATCCAGCCAATGTCCCATTAACCGTTGATCATTCACTAGTTTTCACCATTGGAGTCGGGATTAACCCTTGTGCTACATGCTTTAATGGTTCCCGGGCTGTAGCAGCTATTAACAATGTCTCTTTTGACATGCCAACCACAGCTCTCCTTCAAGCACATTACTATGGCATTAGTGGGATTTTCACAGATGATTTTCCAGCAAAGCCACTAATACCTTTCAATTATACAGGTACTCCACCATCCAACCTACAAACAATGAATGGCACCAGGGTATACAGACTGGCCTACAATTCAACAGTTCAACTAGTAATTCAAGGGAACTCTATATTAGCACCAGAGAGCCATCCAACCCATCAGCATGGATTCAACTTCTTTGCTGTTGGAAGAGGGTTAGGAAATTTTGATCCAGGGAAGGACCCACAGAAATTCAATCTAGTTGATCCTGTCGAAAGGAACACAGTAAGTGTACCAACTGCGGGATGGACTGCAATCAGATTCAGAGCAGATAACCCAGGTACATTTAAACAGTCTTTTCTTTTTTCTAGAAAGGTTTCACTATAGAACTTACTGCTTTGTAGGTATCAATCTTATTCCTGTTAAGGAGCTTGCAACTTCTATTTGCCTTTTGTAGAAAAATCGAAATACCTTTTTCTTTCTGTCTCCTTTGTTTGAAATGAAGCTGCTGCTATTTTACTTCAATAGCAATCAAGGTCCTAGTAAACTGTCAGCCCGCTTTCACAACCAGCAAGCAAAATTTCTTAAATAAAGCGGTGTTCTAATATTCTAATTTGGTGTTTTTTTAGGGGTCTGGTTTTTCCATTGCCATTTAGAAGTTCATACAACATGGGGACTTAAGATGGCATTCCTGGTGGACAATGGCAAAGACCCGAATGAGTCAATTCTACCGCCTCCGAGTGACCTTCCACAATGCTAGGCAAACTTTCCCGATAGCTTTGAGAATCAAAGTTTGAGGGTAGACAGGAGAATGAGATCAGAACAAGAGAAATGTGAAAAAAATTTGTAATTGAAAAACAATGAAAAAAAGAGATTTGACAAAATTAATAAACGGCAAATGAAAGGGTTGTTGTTTTTCTCCTTTTAAACATTAATTTAAGTTGCAGAATATAAATCCATGTAATAATCTCTTTTATTTTTGGTGGGGTGGAGGGATCATATATACTTTGAGTGGATGTAACTGCAAGTACGGAAAGTATGTAGCTATCAGAGTTCCGATCAAAATTTATAGTGAAATTCTAGCTAGGAAAGAGCTCTTCATTTCTGAATCTTTTTTACTTACATTTCAAGTATATTTTAATTAAGTCTAGCCCTTGTTTTTCAGTCAAAATTGTATATTTGGAAAAGACGAAAAAAAATGTAATAGGTACGGGTCAAGCCAATGGCTTTTTGCCTTTGAAACACACGCTCTATCCACTGAGCTACAGAGTCCATTTGCGGACGTTAGTACTTTTCCAGCTTTCCAGTTAAAATTAGTGTGAAATTACAGAGAGAGATATTTTTAAGGTTGCGACAGCTTATGTTCATTTTGATATGATGACGTGATGGACTTTTTTTATTAGAAAAAATATACAAAATGACAAAATTGGTGATGTTAAATGATAGATGATTCTATCATTTGTTTTAATGTTTTCATTTTGTTCTTTTTTATTTTCTAGATTATCACTACAACTTTATAAACTTTTTGGTTAACAAAGTGGCATCACATCAAACGATAAAATTTAGATAAACTTTATAAAATTGTTTTTAAGAATAATTTAATAAAAATTTTAAAAAAAAATTCAAATTGATGAATTGATAGAGTTTAATATAAAAATTAATAATATATAAAATATTATTTAAAATATTATTTATAATTCAAATTTGATTTATATTTATTTAATAATAAAAATTTTATCAATATTTTTAGTAAAAATATCTATCTAAAAATATATATCAAAATTTATTAAAATTTTACATATTTAATCTATATAACGAGGTCTTTAAATCTAATAGATTTGATTTTTTATTTTAGTTATTATTTAATCATTTTTAATAAAAAACTTCACGAACTCCACTTAAAAAACTTTATCTAAGTTTTTCCTTACATCAAAACCTTTGTACCAAAAAAATCAAATTATCCAATTATTTCCTATATTTATACTGAATTTGAACTTTAATCCCCATACAATAATCTAAAGAAATCAAATTCTCATATTAATTTAATTTAACAATGTTAGTCCAATTGATAACAGTATTAGTTGATCTTCGTTAAGTTAGTTGATGTGGTTGCTAATCATGCTGACATGACATTGACTTTAATGGCGTGACGTTCACTTTAATGATGTGGTATTAACTTGCTAATGTTATAATTGAGATTGATGAAATCAGTTGCTAAATTATATAAATGATCATTGTATTTGTACGAAATTTGAAATTTAATCACTGGACTCGCATGAAATTTGAAATTTAGTCCTTATACTCACACTAAATTTAAAATTTAATCCTTCTAATACCAAAAAACATTTTGAATTTTTTAAAATTTTTTAATTTTTTAGAACATTAAAATTTAAAAATTGCTATAATATTCTCTCATAATATTCTATCACAATATTAAAAAATCTATCATAACATTTAGTCACAATATTCACATATTATCACTAAATCTATCACAATTTTTTGTCATTTTTGTAAACTACTATTACTAGTTTTGTCACTATTTCTTATTATATTCTGTCATAAATATAAATCTATTACTAATTTTATTATACTTTTATGCACAATTGTAGTGTATCGTGGTCATAAGAAAAAAATCTTAAACCAATCTATTAAGAATCTATCATAAATTTGTCAATACATAATACAAATCTATCACTATCTAAATTTATTGAAACTATTATTTTTAGATATTCATGAAAATGATCTAGAAATCAATACCATGTTTAATGTTGTTAAAAGGAAAAAGAATATTGAGAAAAGTCTTGAAGAAATCATGTTGTTTATTAAGAAAGTAATGGTTGAGCTTGAGATCGCTGTTGAAAATGATGCACAACAAAATAGAATGGGCCAACCTGTCATCAACAAACTCTAGAAACTGCTTTCTTATTGATGTTTTGTCTAAGAAAAGTTTTCAACAATGATTCTTAAATCGTGGGATTTTAATAATCCTGAAGAATTGGCTCGAACCCTTCCCTGATAAAAGTTTACTAAACGTAAATATCTGTGGTGTGATTTTGAACATTTTGACAGATTTTCCTTGGATTTAGAGTAACAAGATCGACAAGAACAGTTTAAGAAAAGTGGTATTGGAAAGGTGATTATGTTTTTGTTAAGATATAAGGAGGAAATAAGTTCCAACAAGAAACTTGCAAAGGACTTGATTGATAAATGGAGCCGAATCATATTTAACAAGAGTGTCAGGTTCTTTGATTTAAGAAACATTAATGATGTTCATATTCTCATGACAAAAAAGTCTGTGAACAAACTTGCAATCATGGAATATAAAGAGGTTGATTTGAACTTCAACAGTTCTAAATGGCAAAAGCTAAGTTCTCTATCATCTTTTTCGAGCCAATGTGTTACCAGGCTTGAACCAACTTAATTTGTTTATGTGGTAAATCCTCGATCCAACTACAACCTAGAGATGGCCAAAGCTTACGTTGATTGACAACAAATGCTAGGAGTTTCCCGACTAAGAATAGCTAAAAGGTTGAAGCAATTGAAAGCATTAAAAAGGAAGTTGTTGCAAACTAAAAAGCCTAGTGCTCAAAGTCGTCGGATATTGTTAAGCATTTGATGTTATTTGACTTTTTTGGCATTTGCTATAAATTTTCAAGTAGTCATATTAATAAAGTCCAATTTTTGCATCATTGTCTAAAAGTCAAATTATGCAATTAGTGACAGATTTGTATCATATATTTATAAATTTGTGATAGATTCTAAACAAATTAGTTTAAGATTTTTTTTTTCATATGGCCATGATAGGCTACAATTGTGACAGAAAATGTGACAAAATTAATAACAGATTTATATTTTATGACAGAATGTAACAAGAAATAGTGATTGAACTAATAATAGTATTTTACATAGGTGACAAAAAATTATGAGAGTTTCAGTGACAATATATGAAAATTGTGACTAAATATTGTGATAGATTTTTCAATATTGTAATAGAATATTATGAGAGAATATTGTGGCAATTTTCAAATTTTAATGTTTTAAAAAACTAAAAAATTTCTAAAAATTCAAAATATTTTTTATATTAAAGAAACTAAATTTCAAATTTCGTATGAGTATAAGAACTAAATTTTAAATTTTATATAAGTATAGAGACTAAATTTCAAGTTTCGTGTGAGTACATAGATTAAATTTTAAATTACAAATGAGTACAAAGATCATTTGTCTAATTTAACAATTGATTTCATCAATCTTAATTGTCACATCAATAGTCAATACCACACATTGAAGTCAATGCCACATCATTGAGTCATTGAAGTCAATATCATGTTAGCCACCATGTTAGCTAACTTAACAAAGATTAACTAACACCGATATCAAATAGACCAATATTCTTAAATTAAACTAATATGAGGAATTAATTTTTTCATATTATTATATAGGGACTAAAGTTTACATTCAATATAATTACAGGGACTAATTACAAAATTTGACGTAGAAAAAATAGTAAAGAAACTATGACTCCATCTATGAAAAAAGCACAAAATTAAGTAAATTGCCATAATCACATACGTGAATAAATAAATAAATATATATATAATAGGGTTAATAGTATTCGAAATTCTTAAATTTTGATTTAAATTTTTTTGTCCTTAATTTTAAAAAGCTCTAATTAGATCTTAAATTATCTAAAATTTTCATATTTTAATCATTTCATCTATGAAACCATCTAAATTGACCGTAAATATTAGCTAGTGCCACGTGATAATGTCAGTTGATAACACACATTACAGAAGTGGTACGAAAAAAGAATTTTCTTAATGTTTAGGGATCAAAGATGAAAGTATCTCAAAATTTTATAAATTTCATATATATATATATATATATATATTATAAAACATTAATTTTAAAATTATATTTTTATGTTTTTCTTGTAATATAATTTATTAGTTAGGTTTTTCTTTTTTGTTTTTAATAGAAAATAAATTTTCAAAATTAAAATTAAGTTAAAATTTTCAAATTCTTTTTTTAAAAAATTCAATATCATTTTAAAAATATTCTTTTACTCAAAAATTATAATATGAAATATTATTTTTATCAAAAAATATATTTTCTAAAGTATTAAATATATTTTATTTTTCCTTTTTCATATATATTTTATAAAAAAAGAAAATTAATTAAAGAAAAAATTGATTTTTATATATTTAAAATATATTTTATAAAATTTTATAATTTAAAATATTTTTATTTTTATTTTGATATGATTTATCAATAAAATAATATTTTTAATAAAAATAAATAAATTTTTAAAATTAAAATTAAGTTAAAAATTTTAAAATAATTTTTTTTAAATTCCATATCATTTTTAAAAATTAAGTAAAAATTTACTTGGGAATCAATTTTTGATTTTTTTTCAACAAAATAAACTGAAGAATCTAAAAATACAATCTTTTAAAAAATTAAGAGAATCTAGAAAAAAAAAAAAAAGCAACGGAAGAAATTTTGGGTTTCTTTTTTTTTTTCTTTAAGTATAAAACTTTAGAGTGAGTGGGAAAGATTATTTATATAAAACAATAAAACAAGCTTAAAATCTTGAAGAATTGTAAACAAACCAAGCTTGGAACTTAGAATTTATACGAAAAAAAGGCAAATAAAGTGAAATAAACCTATTAAAAAGAAAAAGAAAACAAGTTATGAGGAAATAAAGAGCAAGACAATGAAAAATGGTGAACAAAGTAAAGACCCAATCAAGTAGAAAAAATGAAAAGATGATTCTTTAGATAATTAAGTTTTATAAAAAAATGAGAGAAAAAAGGGTTTTCTTTGAAAAGAAGAAACAGAGAAAAAAAAAAAGAAAAGAAAGAATTTGATAAAGGAAAATGTAGCAGAGATTTGAGGAAAGAATAATGAGAAATGGGCTTTTTTTTTTTTTTTGAGTTTGGTTTCAACTATAGAAAAATGGATGATTTGAAAGACTCTTGAACAACCAAAAGGAAACTAGGAAATATGGCTTGTTAGGAATCAAGATTAGAGAATAATTAGAATTTTTCTTTCTTATTATTATACTAGTTTGCTACCATGCGACGCATATTATTTCTATTTTATTTAAATTTAAATAAAAATAAAAATTAATATTATTAAATTATTTACATATTCAAAATATATATAACATACAAATAATATAATTAAAATATCAAATCATAATAAAAATAAGGTTTTCTTTTTAAATTCTACTTGAAGGCTATAAGGAATTCTTTATTCCATAATTGTAAAGTTATCATAAGATTCATATCTTCTTTTTTAAGAATCTTGGTAAAATCTTTTATGGTTATGAGGTTTTTTTAAACTAAGATATAAATAAATATGAAATTAATACTATTGATGAGACTATTCTTGAATTATTTTTTTTCAAATTTTTTTATAAATAAATAATTTCTTGATTAAAAATTATGTTATATGTTTCACGATAGGAATATGAGTTGAGAAATTATTCACTTTTTGAATGTACAACTGGCACATAAGTTTCTATTTATGACACATAATTTTATTGTATCAATTAATCAAAGCATCATTTTTATTTTATATGAATAAAAAATATTGAATAAATAATCAGTTAAAAGATAAAATATATTATCTAATTGAGTGAAGAATCCATGAAAAAATAAAAGGTTTGCAAACAGCACAGGTAAAAATACAATAATATATGTATTTTTATAATTTTTGTAGTTTTTAAAAAATATATTACAACTGATTTAAAAAAAAAAATCCTACTTGATGAATTGAATAGTATGTTTAGTGAAATAGTGTCTCTTACATGATAGAGTGAATAGCATGTTTGGTGAAATAGTACCTATCATAAAAAAAAAAAAAAAAACATGTTAGTTCCTATAGCAATAATAAACTAATAAAAAGAGAAACTAAATTAATAATAAAAAAAATACGTTTAGCTTAGTGGGACATTAAGAAAGCTATATAACTAAGAACTACCAACAATGAAGGCTTTGTTGAAGTTGTTCTCGTATTTATATATATTTTTCACATTTCTTTTTGTAAAATTTATTAAAAAGCTGAATACAATGATTATTTATAAAAAAAAATTAAAGATATTGAATAATATTTTTAAAAGTTGTGATAAATTTAAATACTCATATTAACTGTAGATAAATTGAAAAAAAATAAATTACTTTAAAATTAATTTTAAATTAAGATAAAGTGATGTATAGGAGAAACTTTCCTAAAGTTGTTTTGGTATTTATATATATATATATTTTCACATTTCCTTTGTGAAATATATTTAAAAGGTGAAGATAATGTAAAAATTATTTATAAAAAAAATAAAGATATTAAATAATATTTTTAAAAGTTGTGATAAATTTAAATACTCATGCTAATTGCAAATAAATTATAAAAGATAAATTACTTTAAACTTGATTTTAAATTGAGATGAGGTAATGTATAAAGAAAACTTTCCTAAATATTTCTAGTGTTTATATTTTTTTTTCACATTTCCTTTGTAAAATATATTTAAAAGCTAAAGATAATATAAGGATTATTTATCAAAAATATTAAAGATATTAAATAATATTTTTAAAAGTTGTGATAATTTAAATACTCATATTAACTCCAAATAAAATTAAAAAAGATAAATTATTTTAAAATTGATTTTAAATTGAGATGAAGTTATATGTAAGAGAAAGAAATTTCATTAAAATTTAAATTGATTTTTATTAAAAATAATCTAATAATTATTAAAATATATTTTTTATAAATAATTTAAAATTAATAACTATCTTATTTGTCGTCATAATGAAAAGTTTTAGGAATTATCTAATATGTCAACAAAAAAAAAAAAATTAACCATGTAAGCATCCACATTAACAATTAGTATCCACATTATCAATAAGTATCTAGTAACTATATATGTTATAATATATATATATATATATATATATGATAGGATTAATAGCATAGTTAGTTTTTAAATTTTATTCTATTTCTTAATCTTTAAAAGTTTTAACTAAATTCTTAGTTAATCAAAATTATCCTATTTTGGTTTTTTTATCTAAGAAACCATATAAATTGTTGATAAATGCTAGCTAAGCAATGTGATGATAGTAGCTTGGATCTCATATTGAAGAAGATGAATCAAAACAGAATTCTCTCGAAGTTTAAGGGTTAAGGATAAAATTATTTCAAAAATTTATATAATTTATAAAATGTTAAATTTAAAATTATATATTTGCAATTTTTGTCGTAATATAATTAATTAGTTAGATTTTTTGTTTTTAATAAAAATAAATTTTCAACATTTAAAATTAAGTTAAAATTTCAAATTCCCTTTTTTTTTTTAAATTCAATGTCATTTTTAAAATAAAAATATTTTTTGTTGATAATATTCTTTTACTCATAAATCATAATAAAGCATTATTTTCTATCCAAAAAGTCTATTTTTTAAAATATTATATATATTATTTTTCCATTTCATATATAATTTATAAAAAAAGAAAATAAGGAAAAATAATTAAAGAAAAAATTGATTTATATATATAATATATTTAAAAATATTATAATTTAAAATATTTTATTTTATTAATGATATGATTTATCAATAAAACAGTATTTTTAATAGAAAAATAGATTTTTGAAAAAATTAATATTAAGTTAAATTTTCAAAACAATTTTTTAAAATTCCATATCAATTTAAAAATTAAAAATTAAACAAAATTCCATATCGTTTTAAAATTTTATAGAAAATTCTACATCATTTTAAAAAATTAATTTATTAATTTATTCAAAAATTTATTTTCTATCCAAAAAATTTAATTTGAATCTATTTTTGTTAAAAACTTTATAATCATACAAAATAAAAATATAATTTAAAATATTTTTTATTTTTATAAAATATATTTGAAAAAAAAATAAAAGATATTTAATATTTTGAAAAAAATAAATCTGTTTTGGATAGATTTTATTGTGATTTATAAGTAAAATAATATTTTTAATAAAAATAAATTTTTTTGATTTTAAGTGGTATTAATTTTTTTAAAAAAAAGTATTTGAAGTTTTTAACTTAATTTTAATTTTTGAAAATCTATTTTCTTTTAAAAACTCTAACAAATAAATTTTATTATAACAAAAAATATAAAAATAAATTTAATATTTTATAAAATACATAAAATTTTAAAATAATTTCATTTTTAATCTCTAAACTTTAAGAAAACTCTATTTTAATTCCTTCTCTATCACATAAAAGGTCAATTGATATTATCACGTAACGTAAGCTAGCATTTATCATTAATTTATATAATTTCATAAAAAAAAAACAAAATAAAATAATTATGAGTAATTAAATATTCAATTAAAACTGTTTTAAAATTTTAAAAAATTAAGTTAAAATTTAAAGACATGTATGCTATTAACTTTTTTATGATAATAATAATAATAATAATAAAAATCACTTAGATACTCGGACCTTGATTCCTAGCAAGCCACCTTTCCCCCGTTTCCTTTTCTCTGCTCCACTCGTCTCTTTCAAATAATCCACTTCCCCACACAAAACCAAACCAAAAAAAAAAAAAAAACCCTCGCTTTTCGTTATTTCTTCTTCAATTCTCTGCTACATTTCCCTTTGATCAAGTTCTATCCTTTTTTTTTATTCTCTTTCCGTTTCTTCTCTTCAAAGAAAACCCGGTTTTTCCCACTATTTTCTATAAAGCTTAATTATCCAAAGAATCATCCTTTTATTTATTTATTTTTCTACTCGATCCGATCTTTACTTTGTCCACCATCTTTCATCATCTTGCTCTTTATTTCCTCATAGCTTGTTTCCTTTCTTTTCAATAGGTTTCTCTCACTGTATTTGCCTGTTTTTAGTATAAATTCTAAGTTCCAAGCTTGTTTGTTTACAATCTTCAAGAGTTTCAGCTTGTTTTATTGTTTTATAGAAATAAACTCTCTCTCACTCACTCTAAAGTTTTATACTTAAAGCCAAAAAAAAAAAGAAGAAAAAAACAGAAACCCAGATTTTCCTCCGTTGTTCTTTTTCTAGATTCTCTTGATTCTTTAAAAGATTGTACTTTTAGATTCTTCAGTTTATGCTGTTGAAAAAAAATATTGATTATTGATTCCCAAGTAAATGATTCTGATTTTAATGCTCTCTTAAGCGTCTAAAACTCTTCACTTTCTGCGGTCAGTACTCTCTCTTCTTTAGTTTCATATTTCTTTAATTTCCAATATCAAAAATTTTTCTTTTGAGTTAAAATTGCTTTTTTTTTTTCTTAGATTTTGTCAAGTATGGAAACTTTGTTTGCAACTTCTTTTATGTTGGATTTGGATTGGTTTGATGAAGAGAGCAACAGCACATATTGGACTAAAGAGGAAAACAAAATTTTTGAGAGTGCTTTAGCAATATATGGTGAAGATGTTCCTGATAGATGGATAAAAGTAGCGGCAATGATACCTGGAAAGAGTGTTTCGGATGTGATTAAACACTATAGGGAATTGGAAGAAGATGTTTTCGACATAGAAGCAGGGCGAGTTCCGATACCAGGTTATCTTAGCTCATCTTTTACTTTAGAATTGGTTTATAATGGTGATTTTGATGCGTATAGGAAGAGGCCTACCGCAGCTAGAGGTCCTGATCAGGAGAGGAAGAAAGGGGTGCCATGGACAGAAGAAGAACACAGGTGACGTACCTTCGAAGACTAATTAAAAATACTTTAAGAACTCTGTTTTCTTTTGGTTCGTGATAATGTTAAGAACTTTGATAAACTTTAGCTTAGGTGCTAAAATGGCTGAAACAAAGAGAAAGGATATCAGTTTAAAGTTTCAGAGTTTTTGATTAGTGGTAAATGTATGAATGAAGTATAGTTTTTGCTTTCTTTTCCCTTTATCAGGTTTCTTAGTCTGCAAGTAAATTTTACCAATAAACTCTGGCATTGTCAATCTTGATATAATTCAGTTGGATGGTAAAATCATCAAGTTGATAAATTTTTTGAAACTCAGTTGAATCATGCCTATCAAGTTGATAACTTATTGTAAGTTTTTACATTGCACTTGGGTTTCGATGTTTTGATTTTCCATTTCAAAATTCATTCAAATTCTTATGAGTTTATCTAACAATTATTGTCTAACCTGAAACTTAGATGATTTCTGTTCCTGTTCTAACCATGGTTTCATTGATCATGAAATGTAGGCGCTTTCTGATGGGACTTCTGAAGTATGGTAAAGGGGACTGGAGAAACATCTCCCGGAATTTTGTGATTTCTAAAACTCCAACTCAAGTTGCAAGCCATGCTCAAAAGTACTATCAGAGGCAGCTTTCAGGAGGGAACGATAAGAGGAGACCAAGCATCCATGACATTACAACTCTCAATCTCACCAACACTGCTTTTTCAGGCAATCATAAGCCTCCTTCAGTAAATCAGTCTGATGTGATTGCATTGCACCAAAAGCTGGCCAGCATGCATAAAGTAGGCCGTAATTGGAATCACCCCAATGATGGATTAGCTATAGCTTTCAATTCAACTCATTGGAACTCATTTACATGATCTCAATACCAGATTGCTTCATATGGCCTGAAACTTTTGGGGCAAAATCTGTATGGCAGTGCTTATCATTGAACTCATATCAAACCGCAAAGCTCAGTGTTCTAAACCCTTACACGGTATGAAATGCATGGATATATAGGGCTGTTGTTTTCTGCTGTACTCAATATTTCAATTTCAAATCTAATAATGTTGAGAATCCTTTTTCAAAATGTTCCTGTGATAGAGTAGAGGGAACACTACTAGGTTTACATTATGAATGAAAAACAGCTGTTCGGAGTATGAATAAAAGAAAAACCATCTTAGACCCTTACTATTTTTTGCATTTATTCGTCAGACAAACATTTATCCAAGTTCTGGATTCTCCGTTAGCTTTGGTAATTTTCCTAGCTTTTGGTTTTCTCCATTCTGATGGAGGCTAAGGCCTTGTTCGATGATTAGTCACTTTGTCCATAGCTGAACTGAACCTTGTGAGACCAAGAACCAAAATACAATGGCATTAGCGGATGTGTACGAGGCAAGATCGATGATTTGTTATTGAGATATTTAAAATTTTCTGCTATTGTCAAGGAGTGACGTAAAAGAACCTTGTGCTACTTTTGCACCTATAATAGTTTTAATGATGGTTTTGTACGCGCTGCCATGTCATTTGCTGATGTGGCCTACTTGGCTGACTCACTTGGCACTCCTTTGGCAATTCTTCAGTATCTGATTGCTTACTTTCTCTTAGGACCCTTTCGGCCATTTTCGCCTCATATTGCCGAGTTGACCGAGCTTGATTGCCATCACTTTGTCGAAGCTGAGTACGCATTCCACTTAATTGAGCATCACATGCTTCATTCCGCTATATGATACAGAAAGATGCAATGTGGTTTACATTTTTTATTTTATTAACCTGATCATCTTTTGTCTGTCTTTTATATTTCTCTTTCTGTCAACCCAATTGTCAACAGTGGCAAGACTGATTCATTAGCATAGTAGCTTCCTTGACTGGTCTCTTTGGGCATCATTCATTTTTGTGGTTCATATGTTTACTTGAGGACCCAACATCACTGTTCTTGTATTTTGTCATGCTTTAACCATATAGAAAAGGAAGAGAAAATCTAGCTTCGAAATTGGGCAAAACCAGATGTTGACCTTCTCCTTGACCTTGAAAGAATATGTTTCTTTTTCACTTTTTTTCCCTCATGGGAACAGGAAAGAATAGGATTTTACCTTTTTATGTCCTAAAATCCTTCTGAGATTCTTCCTTTTTGGTGGCAGCTATGCTCATTTACTATTTTAGGTGCTTCAGTTTGTGCCATATAATCCTGGAAATGAAACAAATTGCTTATTATAAATTTCAATCCTTGGGCATCCTCCTCCTTACAATCCATTCCAAGAAAAACAGCAGTTAGTCTTCTGATAATAATCCCACAAAATACTATGTTCATCAGATCATGGAAAGCTAAGAATACAGTCCATAAATCATGTCTTGGAAAAGGGTTGTTAAAAGTATCAGCTCTTTGCCAATATAGATTGATACAAACCAAGAATAAAAAAGGCCCTCCCATAACAGTGTACACCCAAGAAATTAAAATTCTTATAGATTCAAATTTGCATATGGCTTATTTCAACAAAAAAAAATGCATATGGCTAATTGTACGGAAAATACCTTGGTGGGAAAATGGTTAGAGTTCTGATCTGGAGGCTTCTATTCCGTGAAGTTACCATAAAATTTTGACTTGACTTACCCAGATACAAGGAGATAAAAACTCAACAATCAACATTCAATCAGGTTTTATTTGATTTTTTACCCTGAGAGACTAAACTCAATCAATATCCTTATCTAGCAGATGCCAAGATTTACTGAAACTGCCGTTTTTTTTGGTTGAATACTAAACTGCTGTTTGCAGCACCAAAAAATGCTGGGAATTCTACTCTTTGGATACTTTAGTGGGAACTTAATGAAATAAAGGGGGTAAGGGTTGATGATAATGATCACTCTATCTCATAGGTAGGCAAATAGGCTTTCCACATATGAAAAAAATTAGCCACTATATTTGTTTTCTTTTCAATTTGGCATTGTGGGATCTACCACCACCATTGGTACTGTTGTTGCTGCTACAACTACGATGAAAGGAGCGTAGTGCCCTACCCATGTCACTCTAGCTATATATCATTTTCTAGGCCAAACAAAGCAAACAGGATCAGTATGATTGTTTTTACCAACTTTTTTCCCTCAGAAGATGACAAAAACTATCTACTTTATATTATTTTTCTAAGAGGAAGCAGCCGTTCTGCAAGTTGCGTAAGAAAGCACTCTTCCCAACGTTATTCTAAATTTGATCAAACCGTTTGAGAAGCGAACACCATATACTTTTTGGCCATCTTTCCTTCTTTTAATTTCCCCAAAGAAAAGAGGACAATCTTACTTTAACAATAGGCCAATGATCCACCTCCAAAATCCTTTTGAAGAAACCATGCATTAGACCAACCTGTTTATATATACAAATCCCCCATTGCAATAGCATTATATATTTTACAGACTGGCCTACTTATTTAAGGATGATCTTGGTTTTGAGAACTTTTTGTCGTCAGATCCCACGCAAGCTGATAAAATTGTGTTGATATTATCGCTAGATACAAATTTTATTTATATATTCATGGGTTGGCATGGTTTTGGAAGCTGCTATGAAAAAAGTAAATCAAATCATGATGTAAGACAGCAGGGCAGTGTTGGTGGTGGCCTAGGGTCACCACTCCAGACTCACAGCTCCAGCTTTGGTTTTTTTTCTTCCCATTTCACTGTATTTCGAAGCGCGGTGGGAATGGGTTTTGGCAGTGGTTGGCACTCCAGCACATGGGGATTGAAAATTTACGAGGAATTAAGGAGAGGCATGTATCGTTGCCAATATTTTTTAACTTTTTATTCACTCGCGTCACTTTCTTATTAGTTGGTACGAAAAAGAGTTATCGGTGATAAATTTTAAAAATATAACGAAATTTTTTATTGTATTTGTTATTGGCAAAATTAATTTATTGAGCATTCATCGACATAATTATATGATTTAACTATAAAAAACTTATGAAGCTTTTTCTGTTTTTTGTTTCACATATAGAATATTTTTATTTAAATGATATTTTTATCTTATATCTTTTAAAATACAGAAGAGTTTTATTTATAATTATGTAAAAATCTTATACATTACTATTTATAAAGATATCTATTTGTATAAATACTATTTTTTATAAGACATAACTTTTAATAAATAATTATCTTTTAAAGAGATATAACTATTCACCATCATATATAATTCAAATAACTTATTATTTTGAAAATATTCCAATAATCCCCCATAATTTTCAAAATAAATCAAATCTATGATAATTTTGAAAATTTTTTACATAAATAAAGTATCTTCCTATTTAAACCTTCACTTAGTAAAAATAAATTAAAATTAATTGAAATTACATGATAAATTATGCTTTGAACCAACTATCTATTTAGTTAATCAAATTTATCTCACGCAAAAAATTTTTATATCCAATAAATGCTCGGTATCCGAAAATACTATTTTGATCATGTATATGCATCTTTTTTTTATAAATGCAATTAAAAATAAACCTTTGAGTTTCAAAGAAACAATCACATTTTACACTCACATAAGTAACCACCATCAAGAGTGTTCTCGTAGCTATAATACTCTTAACATATTTATGTTGCAAGACTATTAAAAGTATAATCTCATCATTCCTCTATCATTGCGAGTACCAAATATTTGGGATGAAATATAAGATTCGAACATTCTAAAGTAGGAACAGCAAATCATGGTAAAAGCTTTTTCTAAATTTGAAATCCTCTATGATTCCAATGAACTTTCCAGCAAGACAATGGCATTGTTATAAATTAGTTTATCGAAAACCGTCATAAGTTAGGTAGTAAAACATCTAGCCAAAGCAAAACAAAATTTCCTGATGTTAGGAATTGCTGATTCTATCTACCAGGTTCATCTGGAACATAAAAGCTTGGAAAAGGTTTTCCCTGGCTCATCATATGTGAAGCACTCTTTTCAATAACATCAATGGATGTTATCTCCTGCATCAGCTGGTCAGGATTGTTGCAGATAATGTAAGGATCTTCCACTTTGCTAGAATGAAGTTTCCTATTATCCGATGTGGTAGCATGAATTCTAACTTGAAAAGCAATTCCAGTTGAGAATGGTTCAGCAGAATCAATATTAAAATCAGTAAAGGCTTAATGATAAGCTACTTTTATATGGACAAGGGACAAAACAGTAGCCCACCAAGACTGCAAATGCTTTCAAAATTACAGAGGAAAACACAATCTTATTACATGACAAAGTCTAGAAATAAAATCGAAAATGAAATATCAAATCGAAACCCTCTAAACAGAAAAAAAAAAAAAAAAGAAAAAAAAAAAGAAGAAGAAGTTACACAAGCTTTATAAACAAGACGTGGGTAGGAAAAATGGACACTTACACAAAAGGTCATATTTACAGTTCTAAGCCAGCAACTAACGGATCCAAAGGAAAAACAGTATCTGGAAAATCTGATCTCGGTCCAGCTAGGGAGTAATACGCGAGTATATGAGCTGGATTTTCGACCACAACAGCCTTCCCAACCTGATCAGTCATAACCACTCGTCTTGCAGGAATTAGCTCAATGTTCCAAAATGGACGAGCCATGGCTAACAGATCTCGACCTGATTGTGATGATGCTCTATATCCTTGCACCCATAAGTACCTCAAAGAAGTTAATTGCATCACTGCAGATGCTAGCCCATGCTCACTGAAGCAACAACCCCTCATTTCTAGTTTCTGCAAGCTAGGACATCCCCTAGAGAACTCCAAAAGCCCAGCATCTGACTCCCCAACACATCCAAGAAGCATCCATCTCACATTAGGACTACATTGCCCAATATAACTGAGGCCCACATCGGTTAAACCACCAGGTCGGAGATAGAGGGCAAATCTTCTAAGCTTTTCACAGCCGCTCAATAGAGCCCGGACTCCATTGTCAAGAGGCAAATCTGTTATCCTTTCTTCTTGGTCAAGCAAGACTAGACGAAAATCACAGAGATTTTTTGAGTAAGTCCCAATGTATTCCAATGATGCATTGGTGATATCAGATACATAAACAGCTAAGTATTCCAATTCAAGGCATCCCTGAGCTAAAGCCATTAATCCTCTTTGTGAAACCACACCTTCTTCATCCTCCATTCCCTGCTCATCAGCGCCTCGCTCAATTCTAAGCCTTTTTAGTCTCTTACAACTTCGAGCAACAACTTCTAATCCTCTATCTCCAATAACATTCCTTGTCTGTCCATCCAGGAAATACATTTAATAGGACCTGATTAAAGAATGGAATGAAAAAAAGAAAAAAAAAAAAAGCATTTCCTTTCTACAATATTCCTCTGCATTTTGGCACTTTGCATTATCCAAAAATTTCCAAGACCTCTTTTGACCATTTAGCACATTCAACTATTGAAATCTCAATGCTAGATAAAATTTTCCACACAAAAATGTTAACATTCAATAACACACTAC